AAGTTCTGAATATGAGGTAGAGGTGGAAATGAACTGAACTATTCTCTTTCTTGTTCCTCTCACTGTCTCACAAAGTATGTTACTAAGCCATGGACTTATTCAAAGCACTAAAAGACACGATTTATTAACTAACACTCATGTAGGAATTGAAAACAGTTCCCTAAATAAGCAAATCGCTCTATCCTTACAGGCAATGGCTTGCATAACTATTTTAATGCTTTTTATGAAATATTATAAATTAGACTCATCGTTTAGATTTAAGAAATTCATTTGTGCTGCATCATAGATGTTTAAAAATATTCCTATATCGGCACAAAGCATAAAAAGCTCTCTGGAAAATCATGAAACCCTTGCACACTCAATATTCCTCCCCACCCCAGTCCTTCCCATCTGCCAGCTGGGTTTCATTTTAAGAATTTCACACTGAATATAAAGTGCTATTTTGACCATGTGGCTCCAGAAATGTGAATTTATAGTCTATTCAGCTTGTACGCAGGTGATTGACAGAGAGGGGATTAACCAAGTGGAAGCGATGAAGCCACGGCCTCTTCCTTCAGGTTACTTTAAGTTTCCATGCAAGGATGGTCATCCTTATATGGTTTCATTGAGGCTAGCAAGAAGTACAGCTTCCTAGCAGTGAAACGACTTACTTTTCATTTAACTACTATATGGCCAGCATACCTTGGAACTATTTCCTCCATGTCACTGTTCCTCCCACATTCCACCTATTTTCCCATCTGTAAAATGGGAATACTAAAGTTGGCTTTCTTAGACACACCTTGTGGTGATGTCCAACTGATACATGGCACATATCTATAATTACTGGTCTTTAGGTCTAAGAGTCAAGATTTTGGCAAGTGTGTGTGTGTGCACGTGTGTATTCGGTTTTCATGGGTGGGGGCAGCCTAGAGGGAGCGGGCATGGAGAAGGCTGAAAGGTTGGCTTAGGGTTCCTTAATATATTCTTACTCTCTGTGAGCAAGTGCCCAATAACTCAAATATGAGAGAGACCCTCTGCACACAGCATTTCAGGTATTGTTTTGGGCATCTAGAAATGTTTCAGATACCACTGCTATTTATAATTTTCACATAAAGCAGTCCTATTTTTTTACAGTTATCTATGCTGTTTCAGACTTCTCATCCTTATGCATCATCACAGGCACGAACATGATGTTATAACTATAGACAACAGTCCCCCTTATAGACAGTTTCACTTTCCATGGTTTCATTTTCCTTGGTACAGTCCAAAAAGATATTTTGAAAAAGAGAAAGACCATATTCATTTTTATTACAGTATATAGTTACAATTATTTAATTATTAATTATTATTGTTAATCTCTTACTGTGCCTAATTTATAAATTAAACTTTATCACAGGCAGGTATGTATAAGAGAAAAATATAGTATCTGTAGTAGGCCTTCTGTAACCGTGGGTTCCACATCCGTGGATCAACCCACTGTGGATTGAAAATACTCGAAAAAAAATAATTGCACCCGTACTGAACAGGTAAACTTTTTCTTTGTGTTTATTCCCTAAACAACAGAGCATAACTAGTTATATAGCATTTATATTATATTAGGTATTATAAGAAATCAAGACATTAAAATTTAAAGTGTATAGGAGGATGTACATAGGTAATATGCAAATACTACACCATTTTCTCTCACTGACTTGAGTATCCTCAGATTTCGTTATCTGAGAAAAGTCTTGGAACAAATGCCCCATGGATACTGAGGGACAACTGTAAAGGGTTTGGTACTATCTACAGTTTCAGGCATCCACAGAGGCCTTGGAACGTATCTTCCATCAGTAAGGGGGGGATCCACTTATATTCAAATTTTCAAATTGTTTCTTTTTTTGCAACTTTAGGGTCATGCTATGTCTGGGATTCTGTACACTCACTAAATGCACAAGAAGTAATACTATAAACCAGATGACTTCCCTGTTGGATAAAAGTTGAATGAAAGAATATTCGAGCACTGGCTTTTGAGAAAGGTATGTAGGATGTATTCAGATTTGAAATTGTGACACTGGAGCCAGTCTCAAAATTAATGAGCTTATCTAAACTTGTATTATATACACAAAAGTTCACATCAGATGGGAGATGACATCATTCGAAAATACATACTTATCATATCCCGTCAAGTTTGGTCCTGTTCAGAACAGGAAAAGTTCCATTCACAGGTGGAGTCTTCAGCTTCTAAATTATTCTGGAGAGTAATAACAATGTTTCTCCTCCCTTCCCTCAAGACAGAGAAAACAAACAAACAAGTACACTATAGAAAATCAATTATAATTAAGGGAAAATTTCTCCGGCTTGCCAGCAAAAACAAGTATGGCTCCACTGAAAAAATCACTCATATGATACATTGAAGTGAACAATTAAGAAAGTTATCTTAGCACAGAAAAAGGTATGGAAGAAGCCACATCAAACTGATAACACTGGATAATAACCTTGGAAATTAAAGAGGGAAAAGGTTATTAACTTTTATATATCTTTACGTATCTCTGAATAATTGAACTTAAAACAATAAGTGCCTATAGTTTTTATAATTAAAAAAATCTAATAAAATAAAAACATACACATGAACACATCAAAGACCAGAAAGAGAGCTTAAGGAAATAAAAATACACTATATGCAGAGACACATCCAGAAAGTTAACCTGGCTCACAGTAGAAGCTCAATAAAGAGGAGTTACATGAATGTGAAGCACACAATAGCTGACAATATAAACAGTCTCCTCGTGGCCAGGCGTGGTGGCTCACGCCTGTAATCCTAGCACTTTGGGAGGCCGAGGTGGGTGGATAACTGAGGTTGGGGGTTCGAGACCAACCTGACCAACATGGAGAAACGCTGTCTCTACTAAAAATACAAAAAATTAGCTGGGCATGGTGGCGGGCACAGTGGCGGGCGCCTGTAATTCCAGCTACCTGGGAGGCTGATGTAGGAGAGCTGCTTGAACCCGGGAGGCAGAGGTTGCGGTGAGCCGAGATTGCACCGTTACACTCCAGCCTGGGCAACAAGAGCAAAACTCCGTCTCAAAAATAATAATAATAATAAAAAAATAAAAACATTCTCCTCATATTATCTACTCATGTGACACAGAGAGAGTTGCTTTTTAACCACCATAGTTAAGAAATATGGATTTTTGTCTTATCTAAGCACTTTGGGGATTTAAATTTTAGGTCAGTAATAATTTATAAGAGTTTTCTGTTTCTGGAAGGTGGGCAACTTTTCAGGCAGGCTAGAAGACCCTCAGGATTCTTCACTTTCACAACTGAAAATCCAACAACTGCCCACAGGGCTGTAATGTTTATATGTGGATTTTTCCATAATCGGTGGTATTAGCTCCTCAGGCCCTGACGGGAAATAAAACCTCCAACTCCCTGCTCTTTATCAGACCTCCTGGGAGAAACAATCTCTAGAGAAGATCATAGAAAGGGCCAGACCATCCATCTTCCTCTATAGGATGTCTAATGCTATCCTTGAATGAAGTTCAAGTATATCCTGCTGAAGGCTACCAAATCACTGTCTGGCATTTTGATACTAGGGTCTCAAACTTACTTAATGCCACTGTAAGAAAAGGCCATGAGAAACTCAAAACTACACTTACTATAACTATGTTGTGAATTACTCATTAGATCACTCAATGTCTTCTATAGAAAATGTCTTTTTAGAATTATGCTCAAACAGCTTCCATTTTCCCTGTGGAAGACACATTCTCCTTCTTTTCCATAATGAGAAATACTACGTTATAGATCATCATTCCCCTGCCCTTTTGTTTTTCAAAAACCCAGAGTAACAAATATAAAACCCCAGTGGAAAAGTGATTTGCCCAATTGGAGTAGGGTTGAACGTTATTATAGTTGCCTTCTCTTTGTTCTGAGCTTCTTGTATTTCAATATTTTATTATTACTATTTTCATGTGAATCACTTTAAATACTTTGTAGACAGAAGCTGTGGACTATATAGACAAAATAAAAATAAAGTAATATCTCCATCTGGAGTTGAACAATAACATTCAATTATCTCTTTCCTTAGCATAATTACTTAACAGAATACACCAAGCTTCATTGAAAGCCATCAATCTTGAATTATTCTTACTATTTTGAGGGCTTTTTAATTTGCCATGAAGCGTGGACTCCAATTTTATCAGAATTGTCTTAGTATGAGAAGCTTCAACTGAAGTTCACTCATTTAAAAAATTTTAAGAATATCGCAGTAAGGAGAAATTCTTCAGTAGGTCAAGTCCCTGATAGCAAAATCGAAGGGATTGTTCAATTGTTTCACTATATAAAATAAGCGATGCTTACAACATCATTCTTCAGAATCTTTCCTTCCTTTGTCCTTTCTTTCCTTTTCTCTTTCTTCCCTTCTCTCTCTCCCTCATTCCTTCTCCCCACCACTATGCTATTTCCATGTGATAGGATTTTAACTGTACTGTCCAGTTCTTACTATCTTATACATCAGATGGTAGATGTCATCTGGCATTTTTTTGTTTGTTTCTCCAAAGTACCTTTAACTTTTTAAAAATAGGTTTTTGGGGGACAGGTGGTGTTAGGTTACATGAAGAAGTTCTCTAGGGGTGATTTCTGAGATTTTGGTGCACCCATTACCTGAGCAGTATACACTGTACCCGATGTGTAGTCTTTTATCCATCGCCACCCACCACCCTTTTCCCCAAATCCCCAAAGTCCACTGTATCATCTTATGCCTTTGCGTTCTCATAGCTTGGCTTCCACATGAGTGAGAACATATGGTCATCTGGCATTTTTAATGCCACATGATCAAACCCAACAACACTCTCCAAAATAATCTTTCAGGGTAGTGATGGTGGAATCTAAAAACAGCAAAGTTAAGGTATCTTTAGCCATAGGATTCTGGCCAAACTGTTAGATAAATAAAATCTGCCTTTATTTCTTTTTCACCTTCCTTTCCAAGAATTCTTTCCAACAATCCAAAGTCTCTATATACCTTACTATGTGTCAGACGCTTTTTTTAAAAAACGGAATGCTTTACAAATTTGCATGTCATCCTTGCACAGGGGCCATGCTAATCTCTGTATTACTCCGATTTTAGTAATATGTGTTGCCAAAGTAAGCACCATATACTCTTTTAAAATTAAAAAAAATATATATTAACTGATTAATCCTCACATCAGTCCATTGAGGAAAGTATTACTATTATTCTATTTTTCAAAGCCAGTACTACTATTATTCCATTTTACCTAAGCTTCCATTGTTGAAGCTTAGGTAAAATATGTCCAAGCTATGGAGGCAGGACACCATGGTGGCCCAATAGTCTGGCCCAAGAGCCTGGGTACAGCAGAAACATGCTGCTTCTTAGCTAGTATAGTGAATGCTGAACTAGCACTAACAACAAAAAAGTGGATCTCAATGAAAAATCAATGATTAATAACAGGAGGTGAAATCCGACAGTATGTAACTTTAGGTACTTATAATCGGGTTGGGATGAGATTTGTTGCAATGCCTCCTGAAGTCCCTTAAAAATCAGTCCACATCAGCAGCCACTCCTAGTGAGTAATGCAAGTAGAACAAAGCATTTCAAACCATAGAATCCTTTCAATGTCTTTCTATTTCTCCACTATATTCTTGCAGCACCCCCTCCTCCAAAGGGCAGCAATGAATGTACTGACATATGACACATTGATATGATCAAGGTTGATTGGTGGCTTCCCACATATTATGTGGGGTCCCCAAGAGGTAAAAGACTGGTAGAGTATTGTGGAACCTTCAGTCATCTGGATTCGACTTATCTATTCATTCATTCAACAGATACTCAATAGGAAAGTGCCAGATATTCTTCTAGTCACCAAAGATACCATAGTGAACAAAGCCGAATAATCCCAAACTTCTAGGTACTTACAATCTAGTGAAGAGAGACTAAATGTGATAAACCAGTAAAATAGTAAGTAGTGTGTTAGATAATAGCATCAAGTACTAGAAAGATGAAGCAGGGAGATGCATGGGAAGTCTAGAGTTCAAAACAGGGTGGTCAGGCCAGGCGTGCTGCTGATACCTATAATTCCAGCACTTTTGGAGGCAAGGCAAAAAGTTCACTTGAGACCAGAGTTTGAGAACAGACAGGGCAACAGAGTAAGACCCCATCTCTACAAAAAAATTTTTAAAAATTAGCCAGGAATGGTGGCATGCATCTGGAGTCTCAGCTACTTGGGAGGCTGAACTGGGAGGATCGCTTGAGCCCAAGAGGACACGGCTGGAATGAGCCATAATAGCACCACTGCACTTCTCCAAGGGAAACAGAGTGATAACCTGTCTTAACAAAACAAAACAAAACAAAATAAAACAGGGCAGGGTTGTCATCTCTCAATGCTCACAGATCCTATCCCCTAACTCTCTAGCCAAACTGGCTTTAGTTACTCCTTAAACTCATCTTGCCCTTCCCAAATATGAGCTCTTCGCTCAAGACATTTCTTTCTCCTGGAAGGCCCTCTACTCTGTTCCGTGTAAGTGGTAGTTTAGTTAACTGGACTGAAGCCAACACTACCTATATTCAAATACCTTCTTTATTATTTACTAACTGTTTGACTTTGGGTAAGTCCCTTAACTGCTCTAGGCCATAGTTTCCTAATTTGGGAAATGGGTATAATAATAATGACAAGAACAATAATACCTGTATCACAGGGTTCATTGTGAGGCTCAACTGAATTAGAATATTAAAGTGCTCAGAATAGTACCTGGCACTCTTCCACTACAACTATGACCGCAGCTAAAATTCTATCTGTGCTTAAGACCCAATTCAAATGCTACTTCTCAATTTCTAATCACTGAATCTCTAATAGCTGAAGGTGAGATTTTCCTTCTCCGAGATCCTGTAGTCCCTTGGTTTTATCACTTTAGTGGTATTTAAGCTGTATCACTGCAAGTATTCACATTATCTTAAATTACAATTATTATATATATGGGAAGGACAATTATTATATGTGTGTGTATATTTCTTTATTTACAAACAGCCTCTTTCCTCCTGAAATCACACACCTGAGGGTTTAGAATGAACATCAACTTCTCTTCTTTCTCCTTATCTTCTCTTCCCTTCTGTGAGTGTTTTAATCAGTTCATTATTTACATATACCAGAGAGTGGATAGGACAGGGAAAGGGAAGTGAAATTAGCATGGGCACGGGCACACACACACACACACACACACACACACACACTTTATAGTTCTGTATTAGTTTATTACATTTAAATCTCCTACCGTTTCTGATCTCCTTCTCTGAGGAAAGCTTGGTGGTAGAGATTGGTGGCTTCAGTCCAGTTAACTAAACTACCACTCACATCAAACAGGGCACGGGGCCTTCTAGGAGAAAGAAATGTCTTGAGCAAATAACTCATATTTGGGAAGGGCAGATGAGTTTAAGGACGGACTAAATTCAGTTTGGCTAGAAAGTTAAGGGGATAGGATCTGTGAGTATTAAGAGATGACAACCTTGCTCTGTTTTGTGAGTCCTCCAAGGACTAAATCGTGTGGAAAGCATTAAGAAAAAAAAAATTCATCTCACTTAAACAACTTAAGCCCCAACCCTCCTTGAATCTATGCCTTAATGTGCTTGCTGTCTCCCCAAATGTACCATGTATTAATTTTCACACATCAAGACTGCTACTTATCTACCATATCCATTCTGGAACCTCGCTCCCCTCCCCTGTCAACTCTCTTTGTTTTCCTTGCTCTCCCTTCCCTGAAGTATTGATTGCTCCCTCAACCCAGCTGATGCATAAATATTTGTCCTTTCATTTCCCATCTCCCCTGCTAGAGTGTAGATTCTTTGGGATGAAGAGACATCTCAAGGCCCAGAGAGCTTTGCCCAAAGCAGGCCCTCTCATTCATCTTGTCGAATCCTGCATGTGGAGCAAGGCCTGAAGTGGGTCAGAGGCTCAGAGGGTTCACTGAATGGAACTGAATGAGCTGTTAATGAGAACAGCCAAAGGAATTTCAGACCCTCCCCTGTTCTTGCCTTCTGAGCAGAGATGCTGGGCACAGAGCTGACCAACCAAGCTACTGAAGTATATACACAAATACTTCCTAAAACAGGCTGGGCAGGATGATCTATGGTTTTTACTAATTCAGTGTGTTGGGGCTTTATCACACACAAGGCACTCTGCTGTGAGGCAGGAAGACAAGACCTGAATACTGCCCTCGAAGAACCCATAGGCTACTGGGTGAAAAAGACAGTAATTATAACAAGGTGTGTATAAAAGCAGCTATGGGAACAGAAGAGGGCATGAGATTTACCTGTCTTGTGCTAACCCATTTGAAAATTCATAATATTTATAAATTATAAGAAAGCCATAGCAAAAGAATCTTTAAAACTATAGTTCTCAAGTATAGCATTAAACAGTTTAGACAACATTTACATTGTTTTACTTTGTAGAGAACAGGCTGTTTTTGAAAGCTCCCATTTTATGGCCCGATCAGTAAGAGATTTCTATTCCAGCTGCTACACTATTCATTTCTTTTAGTTGTAAAAACTTGAAAAAGTGAAAGGAAGAAATGTACAATAAGCTTCACTGTCAAATTTACCCTTTTTAGAATGATGTTGATCCAAGACAAACAGTCTCAACCAGGGCAACATATATTTTAGATTTCATTGCAGCAAGTAAGAAAGAGAAATGACTTAATTTTCAAGTTGGTTTTTGATTTGTCAGGTGACTTTAAGGGGTTCACCTCTTGATTCCCAATTTGGCTTCTGTTTCAAGGTGGAAATTCTGTAACTTTTTACTTTTTTTTGAGACAGGGGTCTTGCTCTTTCACCCAGGCTGAAGTGCAGTGGCATGATCATGGCTCACTACAGCCTCCACCTCTGGGCTCAAGTGATCCTCCCATCTCAGCCTCCTGGATAATTGGGACTCCAGGCACACACCACTGCACCTGGCTTTTTAAATTTTTTTATAAAAACACTGTTTTGAACTCCTGGGCTCAAGCAATCCTTCTGTCTCAGCCTTCCAAAGTGCTGAGATTATAGGCGTGAGGCACTGCACCTGGCCTGAAATTCTAAAGCTTACTCATAAAATACCCCGAACAGATTTATTTCAGAGAATACCTTAAACTCAATGTGGCTGTGTCCAGGTGAAAAGTCAAAATGTAATAAAAAAAAAAAAAAAAAAAGAAATAGAAAATTAGCTTACTTGAAGATGGAGGGTGGGAGGAGGGTGAGTATAGAGGAAGTACCAATTGGGAATGATGCTTACTACCTGGTTGACAAAAGTCATTTCTACACCAAACCCCGGTGACACATAATTTACCCACTTCAGGGAAAACAACCTGCACATGTAACTCCCTAAACCTAAAATAAAAGTTGAGGGAAAAGAAAGAAAGAAAGAAAATTAGGTTTCAGAACACAAAGTATTATTACTATTATTTGGAAAGTGCCTACTAAGATGGGCAGGTGACATACCTTTTAAGGCATCAGTACTAAGCCTGCCCAGTTAACCTAGAATATTCTAGTAGAAAAATAAGGGTACAGGGAATTTTGTATGAAAGAAGGAAAACATCCGATGATTGATACAGCCTCCAACATAGTTTCCCCTAAAGGCTATTAACAACACAGAAGGCCCAAGGCATTACCCTAAGCAAATTAAGACCTGACAGGTCTTGTAGGAAACTCTCTCAAGCATCCTAACATTTGATGTTTTACCATTTCATTTTGCTCTGCATATCAAAGAGATGACTTACCTCTAGCCCAAACCTCTGATATTCAGTAATCACTCTATTCATATTTATATGAAGGAAACCACTACAAAAGAAATACACAAAGCTTCGGTTTACTCTGATTCAATATCCTGGGGGAAGACAACAGTTTTCATTTTCTTTTCTTGCTGGAGAACAAAAGCATCAGATAGGAAAATCTGTCCCTTTGGAAAAGGACCAGCCATTTGTTCTCTGGAAGGCCCCTGAAAGTAAGCAGATAAGGGAAAGTGGATATCTGCACTTGCCTGAGAAAAGCCTTTTAGGTCCAATTGTAGCAACTTATTTGAGAGCTGCAACTCATTAAATGTGTCTCTGATATCACTTCAGATATGAAGGTTAGTGAAACATACCAATAGACTGAATCATCAAAAAATTC